TTATTCGTGTAAAATGACAATTTGCATGCAACCTTGAAATGTAAATACGTAGCCGCCATTTTGACTCCAGTGCCTAAGTCTGTGACGTCATAATTGAAACAATTGAAACTTAATTATAACCAATCACAGGGTTGATACAAAAAACATGACATGGGTATATTCACTGGATGACACAGTACAATATGTGATAAATATAAATATATATATGTACTCTCATCGGGACGGTTTCTAGAGACCAGTCTCTATGACACCTGATTTTAAGGAAATCTTGTAGTGTATGACTCTAAAAGAATAGCTCCTCTTTCTTAACCCTGATTTTTAACAATACATAAATTATTTTTGGAAGTTGGTAAAAAATTAAAATTGTGTACAGTTGTTTTGTTGTTGTTGTATCAGAAAGATAACATATATTAATGTTTACATCTATCCCACTAGAGTATTTTCTGTATACTACTGTGATATCAATAACAAACTATGCAAAGGTATTTAACACAAAATAGGACTATGTGTAATAATTTCTATGTGATGCAAATGATTTTTTGGGGGCTATTACACATTTGAGCATGGTAAATTTGAAATTTGTTTTATTCACATTGAATTATAAGCATACAGATACCATCCTCTATATCTGATTGGACTCATAATTACCTCTGCAAGATCCTCAATGGAGTAAATGTCATGATGAGGGGGAGGGCTGATGAGCCCCACCCCGGGGACACAGTGACGTGTCTTGGCAATATCCTTTGACACCTGGAACGAAACACATTAAATATTTATGCAGTAATGATGATTTAAACATTCTCTGGATTCTTTCCAAAATGGCTGCTTGTCATATAACTGTTCAACCTATATGAACAAGAAGTTATTCATGTATTCATGAATATTAACACAGTGCCCTACAGCTTAAGTAATTAAGTAATGTATAACTTCGAGTCCTTGGTAGGTAGTACTCAAGCAAGGAAATGTTTTATCAGAAACAATTTCAACTGGTTAAAGCTCCATCAAAAAACACTAATTATAATCAAACTGAAAGTATGTCAAAATCATACGTGGCATACAAATTTTTCATTTGAAAATAAAGGGTGACAATGTATATTAACACCCTGTCCACCGCTGAGAAGAGAATACCAAACACATCTTTGTTCATTCTTAATAATTACAATGTTGATCACTCATTACTTTTCTGCAATGATTACATTAATTTGACACTATTCACGGACTGACTGTTACGGTACTAAAAAATTAAAATGACCAATCAGAATACAGGATGTCTATGCAAGGCTAGGTACACATTACCAACAGTTGCGTACCTTGTGACCTGGTAATTCGCCTCCTTCCCCTGGCTTCGCTCCCTGGGCCATCTTGATTTGTAGCTCATCAGCGTGTGACAGATACGAACTGGTGACTCCAAACCGACCAGATGCCACCTGTTTGATACTTGACCTCTTGTTAAACATGGCGTCCTCGTTATGGGTGTAACGGTCAGAGTTCTCTCCCCCTTCTCCTGTGTTAGACTTCCCTCCTACGCGGTTCATGGCTACAGCTAGAGTGGAGTGAGCCTCGATAGACAGGCTCCCAAAGCTCATAGCACCTGGCCAATTAAAAAGACAATACCGGTACATTAATTACCTTATATACCACTTACAAATTAAAATTGATTACCTGAATCAACAGGTGATCAGAATTTATTGTTTTCTAACTAGGACAGCAAGGATGAATAATCTTAAAAAGTTCTGAATTGTTTATATATAGAGTAAGATATATTAGCTTCTTTAACATAGCACATCTCAGAAATATTTTAGCAGGTTAATTGAAATTTTATATCGTATTATTTCTAAGGAAAAGAATATAATGATTGCTGTCAAGTAAATAACTTTGTTCATTTCTTTATTCTCCATTAAGATACAAGAATAAGTCAAGAAATGTCCCATTTACCTGTACAGAAGCGTTTGACGATGTTAGCAGCCTCCTCAACCTCAGACACGTCCAGAGGCTCCTTGGCATAGACAAAATCCAGCTGGCCGCGCAGTGTGCACTTCCTCACACTGTCCCATGACGACTCGGTAAACTTGGCGTAAGCATTCTTGTTATTATTTTTCGCAGCATCCTGTTCAGGTGATAACATTGTATAACAATAGTACATGTATGATAACATTTGAGAACTACGAATTTTCAAGCGCAGAATTTTTGTTTTCATTTAACTTTCATTTGAAACAAATTTTCTGGCACAAACTCCCACGTTCAAAGTCATCTTATATTATTCATTTACTAATGTCCATTCATACTGCAAAACAAACCATACTGTTAGAAGAAATACGATATTTCTTTTAAATATGCTTCCATAATCCTTATTGTCAGTTCCAACTTGTTCTGAAATGGATGTTTCACTCTATTAAATTAAGTTTTGCTAAACATCTGTAAACACTGAACATCACATTTTGGATGTTCATCATAGAGGGTCATCAAATTATTTTACATTACCTGAAGGTTAGCTATGGACTGAGGGTCATTGATGTGTTTCTCTCCCCCGTCCCTCCAGTGGTAGAAACCAGGGTTCATGACAAGGGCGTCGTCACATTCCCTGTCTGAGTAAGCCTGCTGATGTCTGTTGAGTGTCTGTGTAGGTACAAAGTCACAAGTCAGTAGCATTGCTGGTGTCCTACATATATGTCTACACATCAAATTTGTGATTCATGTCAGAGTTACATTGAGCCATTGAGGCTTTTTTAAACAATAAGTGTCATAAACATAAACATCCTTGTAATACTCTTCATCACAATTTAGATAATTATCAATGATTTTTTTTCAATGTCATTTCTTTCTTTGCCTTTATTTTTAATGCTAACATCAAACTTAAGTCCTCGAAAATGCAATGAAAATGTATTTATCAAGCAGATATATCTTTTTACAATTTCATATTTTTAATTACATGTATTCAATTATTGCCCTATTGTAAAGAATCAAGTGATTAGCTCGCATCATCCTTTGCCTTAAAGAGTTATCAATAATCTACTTACCTCAGAAGCGAGTTCCTTGAAGGCGACTCCTCCTATAAGGGAGGCAGTTCCTTTGAAGCACAGGTCCACTACCTCCTTGTGTAGACCTACTGCCTCAAAGATCTGGGCTCCCTACAAATTTAATTAGAAGAAAATTGCAATTAACCTGTTAATACAAGGTAACAGGGCTTGAATACAAATGAAATATTTGTATGCTAAAATGTTATTTAAGGCATTCAGCCCTGAAGACACATTTGAACTCTTCTAATTCAAAGGTT